GATTTGCTAGCTTTGACCAATCAGTTCACTTCTAGAGAATGGCGGGACAATTCAGCGTCCCAGGCAACTTCAATGACTCTATCCTTTTTTCAAGTGACTACCGGCAGGTAGAACTTGGTATAATGAACTTCCCTACGCCCACCAAACTGGAACGAAAAGAAAGCCACATGTAAACGAAGTTAATTCTACTGGACTTCTATACATCCACCAAGTCGGGCCCAAAAGAGACCCTGCAAAAGGGTTGTTCGTTTTCTATAAACTGATAAAATAGCAGACCTCACCCCAGTATCAAATTAGACTGAAAAGTACAGTTAAGCTTGTTGTACTTCCCGGTTTGGTATCGACTATCCCGGTTTATAAGTTAAACATACACCCTTGTGCAAATTAATTGAAACAACCGCTTTAATTTCCTTTCTTTCATCATACGACCAGTTTTAGACTCACTGGAGTGACAGGGTGTAATTGATTTCTATTTTTTCTTCAGATTAGGTCATTTGCAGTGGTGTGCAGCGATATGAATCTATTTTCCGAATGTATGATAAAATTTGTTTGGCTTTGAAAAATATTGCGTCATCCGTGATTGCATCAGATTTTAATCACGCCCAGACAATATTGTTTCGACTGTCGATTGGTTGTCCTACGGCCATTCTCTGCGATGGACGCTACTCCAAGGAAGCGTACGAAAATTGTAACGCTTCACGAACACACTGGCAAGCCTTACCAGTGAACAAATCAAAGTACTATAGACTGTCCCGGAAATTTTCTTGATTTAAATCCAATCGAAAATATGTGATCAATCTACAAGGAACGACTTTGTGGAATGGACATATGAAGTACTAACATGTACATTGGGTCATGTTTCATTGGAAAAATACGAAAAAAAAGTAAATAATAACGGAATTCGTTTTAATTCAAATTAGTTTGTACAAGGGTGTATAATGAAAAAGTAAACTTTCAAAATTGACAAACTAATGGCAACTTTGGAAAACTTATTTTGTTAATTTTCTTCAAGGACCAAAAGCAGCGACCAGTGGGTATGAAGAATATCAAAATATTCACTGATTTGTTTCTTTAACGTCAAGAAATACATTGGCAGGAACCAAAAGAGAAAATATTTTACTTTCTGCCTCATTTGAAGAATGTCATGTCATGCTATCTCATGTTATTTGTTGTTGTTTTTGTTGTTGTTTTTGTTGTTGTTATGGGATTAATGACAGATTAAGCTCCCATTAAGAAGTTTGGTTTGGTTTGTTTTACGGCATATCAACACCTCAATTGGTTATTTAATGCCGACAAGATTTTTTATTGCTGGTAATATTTTTTATCTATCTATCTATCTATCTATCTATCTATCTATCTATCTATCTATCTATCTATCTATCTGAGTATATATGGGTTTGATTTGTTTTGTTTTACGGTATATCAACCTCAAAAGGTTATATAATACCGACAAGATTTTTATTGCTGGTAATATTTTTTTACTTTAAAAATGTATTGGTGGTAATATTTTTTTCTTCAAAAAAGTATTACTGGTAATATTTATTTTCTTTAAAATATATTACTGATAATAATGCAATAGTTTTTCCTCAAAAAAATTATTGCTGGTTTTTAAACCTATTTTTATAAATTTCATAGTGTTTTAACCCCAATCTTGGGGTTAACTATATGCCCATATTTGAGACCCTAATAGGTGCTACCAACCTGGGAACACTAGTAATTAAGAGATGGTTCCACGCTCATCAAATCCTCCTGAGCAGAGGCCTTGCTGTTGGACGTAGATGTAGTTTATAAGAAGAAGAAGTAGTTAATTATGGTAGTCAAAAATTGTAAAAAATCTGACAAAATGACATTTTACTTGGCCGAAATGTTGTGTCTATAATAACATCAATAATAATCAATTGATTGATTGACTGATTTTGTTTTTTGAGGCTTGTCAACCTTCTTCAGCCAAAAATTATTTTTACATTATAAGAATGTTTTGGAGAAAATAATAAATTTGACTGATAAAGTTTTTTTAATTAACCCATAACTGGGGGGAAGAGGAGCTGCATTTGTACCTTTTGCGCGTAAGTGAATATAACAAACCCGATTGGAATTGGAACTTGTCTTTCTGATTAACAATTCCGATCCCTTATTCATTACACGATTCGCACATCCAAGCTCACAGCACCTGGTATTCCCAAGCGGTTACCCATCTAGGTATTGACCAGGCTCGGCGTTGCTTAACTTCGGTGATCGTATGGGAACTCGACTCTCCGATTAACAATTCCGAGCCATTATTCATTAAACCTCCCGCACATCTACATCCAAGCTTACAACATCTGGTATTCCTAAGCGGTTACTCATCTAGGTACTGACCAGGCTTGACGTTGCTTAACTTCGGTAATCATACGGGAACTTGACTCTCCAATTAACAATTCCGAGTCATTATTCATTACACGATTCGCACATCCAAGCTTACAGCACCTGGTATTCCCAAGCGGTTACTCATCTACGTACTGACCAAGCTCGACGCTACTTAACTTCAGTGATCGTATGTTTCAATGTAATATGGCCGTAAGCCCACTAATAATCAAAATGAAATATTTCTAATAAAATTAATAAAAATGTATGACTAAATATATTTTACTGTAAAAAAACTTCGAAATAAAAAAAATGTAGGCATGGAAATTTCAAATAAGAAAATAAATAGTAAAGGAACTGATATGAAGATGGCTGAACAGAAGAAACTTGAAGATAGAAACAAAACTACAAATAACAATTGCTGAGAACAAGTGTGTTAGAACGAAGGACATCAACAAAATAGAACGTCCTGGCTATGACGATAAACTACATCCGCGTCCTGGGTAAGACGATAAACTGCATCCGCGTCCTGGGTAAGACGATAAACTACATCCGCATCCTGGGTAAGACGATAAACTACATCCAACAGCAACGCCTCTGATCAGGAGACCTTGAGCAGCGTGGAACCACCTCTTATTTGCTGGTGTTCTCAGGTCCACCCTGATCCGGGGTGGTAGTACCTGTTAGGGTCTCAGTTATGCGCAAATAGTTAACCCCCAAACTGGAGTCAAAACACTATGAATGTGTAAAAGTGTAATTTAATCCCAGTGATACCTTTTTGTAAAAAATATTACCAGAAATTAATTATTTTTGAAGAAACAATTACCAGCAATACATTTTTGAAAAGGAAAAAAAATATTACCAGCACTACATTTTTGAAAACAAAATTTTACCACCAATAAAAAATCTTGTCAGCATTAAATAGCCCATTGAGGTTGATATACCGTAAAAAACAAAACAAACGAACAAAACAAAATAAAAAAATAACCTTTTTGTTGGAAACAGAAATAAAATTGAAAATAATTCCCAAAACAACGAATATATTAACAAGTTGCTCAGAAGGGCAATAAAATTAAACATGACTGTGTAGAGGCAGTGAGTCAGCGAAACTGTGCAAACGACTTTGGATAATATCTGAAAACAATCCAAAAGCCTGCATTTTCGAACAGTCTAAATTAAATCTTTTTTAGAATTTGAAATTCAAATATATCCTTTAATCTGCACAGGAAGACCATATTCATCAATCCAGGGAAAACCAGTTCAGACCAGTCTAGATCCACATCCAGGAGAGTGCAGATCAAATTTGTTAATATACGATCCTCAGACAGATGGCAAGATATATTAATGCAGAACAGGACATCATACTCATCAATCAAGGCCAAATCCACTAATCCCTGGAAAGAAAACGAGACTCGTTAATCCATGATAAACCAAACCAGATTCATTTCTCTAAGCTAGAATACCACATCCACTAGGTCAAGATTCCAATCCACTAATCCCGGATAGAAGACCAAATGTATTATTCCAAGTTAGAAGTCCATACATTCTAATCCAGGCAAGACAGTGCCAGACTAAATCCCTTACTCCAGATCAGACCAAATCTGATCCACTACTACAGGCCAGAACAGATTCACTAATAGACCAGACCAAACTAGATCCAGGATAAAAGACATGATCCAGTAATCGATGACAGAATATCAAGCCTACCAGAACACGTTCACTAATTCGGAACAGATAAGATTCACTTCTCCAGGATAGGATGATATCCACCAATCCAAACCAGAAGATCAGACCTATTAATCCCGGCTAAATAAAACGGATCCATTAATCCGAACAGGACAGAATACTAGATTCACTAATCCATGACATAAAATCAAACCAACTTATCCAGCAATCTATGAAAGGCACCAGTCTCTCTAATCCAAACCAAACCAAACCCACTAATCCAAGCAGGGAAATATATATTAATCAAGACAAGATCCACTAATCAAGACCAGATCCAGTGATCTATTAATCTATACAGAAAACTAAACATACTAATTCAGGACAGAAAACCAGACCTATTAATCCAAGCCATAAGACAAGACATGCTAATCCATATTATAACAGATATAGTAATAAAAAAAAAGTCCAGACCCACTAATTCAGGATAAAATCTCACTAATCCTAGTCAGACAAGACCAGATCCACTAATCGGGAACAAAAGATCTAGTCGTCGTTAAAAAAAAATGATCCTTCGGATAGTAAAATGATATATCTCTCCATAACACAGGGTGAGACTAAAAGTGTGAAATGGTAAATGTTTAATATGTATATCAGTAGTTTTTTTCAGCGAACTAAAGTCAATATGCAATTGTGGTAAGAATATTTTTTCATTTCCTTTTTTTTTAGTCGTTGTGCATATATTTATCTTGTCCTCAGTGGACTCTGAAGAGCGATGAGCAGTAACCGATTATAACCCTTTTAAACCCGATATGTCTTGTGAATGTCAAATTCTCCAAGCTCTCCTTCCTTAACTATGTGTCCAAATTTCAACAATATCTTTTTTTGTTTCTGAGTATAATTGCCCTTACTGTCTCCATTTTCATGAAGGCATTTTCGTTGCTTACACGATCCATCCATGGTATTCTCGGTATCCTTCTGTAGAGCCACACTGCTTACGATCATATGGAGTTGAAACATCGGTTCCCGTACGCACACCGAAGTTAAGCAACGGCGATCCGTGTCAGTACCAAGATGGGTAACTGCTTTTGAACATCAGGTGTTGTAAGCTTGGACGTGTGTGTAGTGTACTGTACTGTACTGATGCGGCATTCACCCTGGGCGGATTGAGCCGGCTTCTTCCTGTTATGAGAAGAAGATTCTTGGGATAAATTACAGAAGTAGGGTACCCAGGCCTACTCGAATAACGTTCTTGCTTGCCGCGGGGTTCCCACAGACGCAGAGACAGGAACGACCAGAAGCCGCCGGTTGCCGATGCAGACGCTCCTTGGATTTTCACCAGAGCCCTTGTTAGCCGGCGTGTGTGTCAGACCTGTCCGCCTTGGGTGGCCCTACCAGGAACGAAGTTCCGGGCGGCATAGCTCTGACACTACCGTTTACCCCCCCACCGACTGTGAGGTAAGGGTTGGACTTTGGGGGCTTACAGTACCAGGTGTTCCCAAGCGGTCCCCCATCTAAGTAATGACCTGGCTCTACGATGCTTAACTTCGGTGATCGAACGAGAACCGGTGTTTCAGCGTGATTTAACCGTGTGTAGTGTAATGGATAATGGCTCGTAATTGTTAGAGAGACGAGTTCCAATTCCAATTGAAATCGTTATATTCATTTACTTAGGAAATGTGTGAATCCACCTCTTCTCCCCCACTATGGGTTAATTAGTAAGACGTCTATAATTAAATCATTATT